CTCAAGCACAAAGTAGGTAATAGAAAGTTCCATGAGGATGGCTTCATACGCATTGCCTGGCAATATTCTTAGTCTTCAAAGTTGAGCTCTCTCTCTCCCAGAATTTTACACTGCCTTCTAATAGTTAAGCAATAGGAATATAGATTCCCACTGTCAAGGAACTCTTGATGATCTGCTCTTTTTTTCTGAGCAACAAATTATAACGTGCAAGCACTGCTTACAAGACAGTTTTTAAAGTATGCAGTGATTCTTGAAGACTTTAAGTCCTCCTTTATTTAGGGTTGTGGATATTAAAAAGCTCCCACAGAGTGAACAAATTTAAAAATCACAGTTTCAATCAAAAATCATCACAAGTGATTCCTAAGTCACATCACTAAGTGCATCCTAGTCTTCCAACTTGCCTCACTGTTGTTGTTGTTCAGTTGCTAAGTTGTGTCTGACTTTGTGACTCCATGGACTGCACGCAGCATGTCAGGCTTCCCTGTCCCCTTCACCATCTCCTGGGTTTGCTCAAACTCAGGTCCACTGAGTCAATGATGCCACCCAACTATCTCATCCTCTGTTGCCTCCTTCTCCTCTTGCCCTCAATCTTTCCCAGCATCAGGGTTTTTCCCAAGGAGCTGGTTCATAGCATCAGGTGGCCAAAGGATTGGAGCTTCAGCATTCGTCCTTCCAGTGAATGTTCAGGGTTGATTTCCTTTAGGATTGACTGGTTTGATCTCCTTGCAGTCCAAGGGACTCTCAAAGAGTCCTCTCTTGCCTCATCATCTATATTCAAAGATTTCTTTGAAAACATCTCATGGATGTGCACCTTCTTCTCCAGTCCTATAACCCAAATAACTCCAGACTTTCTGCCACAAACTCACTCGCTCTTCCTGCCTGCCTGCCTGCCTGCCTTCAGTCCTCTCTGCTGATGAGCAATAAAGGCCGTTCCTAAACAATTTTTTGGTTATGTTCTAGGGCAACTTTCCTCCCTCCCTCCCTAGGGCAACTTTCTGTTCCTTTCCTCAAATTCTTCTCTGCATAAGCCATATTAAGAAAGAAAGAAGTTATATACTTTTAAAGGATCAATTAAATTTTACCTCAATAAAGTTGTCACAAAGGCAGAGAGGCAGGGAGCGAGGCAGGGAGCAGCAACAGACGGTAGGAGGAGGGGGGCTCTCCATCCCACTCCCGGTAAAGTCCCCGCAGTCATCCTGCAGAGCCGAAAGACCCAGCGCACCGACACCACTGTCAGCGGCAATCTGGCCTCCCAGGAACCAGGACCAGTGGTGGTCAAGCACTGTTCTGTGAAGCTGACTCATCCATCAGATGGATATAGCTCTGGGAGAAAATACATTCCTCCACGCAGCCAGAACCTAAAACCTTCATATTTGCACTCATTTTTCCAGTACTGACCTTCCAAAAAAAACACCAAAAAAGAAAGAAAGGGTGGGGAAAAAAAACTTCCTTCCTCACAGCTGCCTGTTGAAAACACAGAGCATAAGTAAAATGTGACAAGTCTCTTAGAGTTCCCCCGACCCCGATCACTTGTTAGAAAGCAGGGTCTCTAGGCCCCTCCAATACTCTGACAGGCAAACAGAGCACCTATGGCGTGATATCAAAGTAAAATGGAACTATGACCTCCCTTGATCAACAGTAGTGTTCTTGATCAACAACTCAGTGCATTTTCTGGTTTCTTTGGCACAAAAGAATAAAAAATGGGTTTCCCAACTCGTATTTAAGCTGCCACCTGCAAAGACTGTGTAAATAAGCAGACACATAAAACCAATTCCATCACTGAGATGAAATCCCCATGACACTGCACTGTGAACTGTAACAGAGAAAGGGAAAGAGAGACTCTGGTCCTCCAGCAAATTCTATTTCCTCACAGATAAGCCTTATCAGGCATTTGTACATACTTTTTTTTTTATTAGATTCAATGAATCGTTTTTCATAACAGCCCACTACATCCCAGGCAAGCAAATTTACCAGCTCTACAAGAAACCAATTTGCCATCCCATTCATGTACCTTTGCACAAGACAAAGTCCAGTGGATGGGTAGTTTCTATTTCTATAAGCTGGACAAATTCTGCTTCCCAAAAGGATTGTTAATTCCCCAAAAGGATCATATCTATCTTACATTTAATTTTCTCAGGGCATCCCACACAGTGCCTCTAACACATCTCATTTCTGGAACACCAAAAAAGATCAAATCTATCTGAAAAAATAGACTGTAATACAGATTTATCCACAGTACTCTGAAAAATCATTCATAATTCATCTCTATGTTACAACAGGATGAGCAGAAAGAAAAGTTAAATGAACAGTCCAAGACAGAGATCCCATATTTTCAAATCAGACTTTAAATGACAGGGACAATTAGCAACCTTACGGAAAAACTGATTTAAATTCAAATAATGGCTTTCCCCATGTGACAAATCAAGGCAGAACCTAAAATTATTAAAATGCTAATAGTCACCAGGGTCCAAAGAGTGAGAACAAATGACAAAGCAAAGATTTACAGATAGTAAGTTTCTCCTGCTGTCTACACAAATAAAATCAAACTCCAAAAGCAAAAAAAATACATAGGACAAAACATTAAACTCACCTGCTACACTGTAATTTTTTAAAAATTACTCTGATCACACAAAATGCCAATGAAAGTGATTTAAAACAATTATTTTTAAAATAAACTGCCAACTCAACTCAACATGCAGGAATATTACAAGGAAGGCATTATAAGCAAAAAAGGAGTATGACAATATCTTATTAGATACTGATTAGAACAAAATTAAAAAATATAAATCATCCAAAGTCTTAGTTTTGTAGTTCAACCAAGCTCACAGCTGGATTTTTATTTTATTCTCCATCAAATAAACACACCAAAACCCTTCCCCATTCTCAGTTTAAGAAAAAGACAAGACTTCTCCCGTGAAAACATATATGTTCCATTTCTCCAATCACCAGTACTTGAAAGTTCAGTAACAAGAGGAGTATGAAACATAAAAACAACTGGATATACATTTTTGAAACAATCTTCTAAAAGGACTTCATAATAATGAACTGTACACATCAGGCAATTCTAAGCAAATGTGTTTTTTTCATTTGATAGGATTCTAGACCAAGATCTCTGTGGTCCAATCAGATCAAACCTCAAGAATGTATCTAAATCCCCAATCTCAAACTGAAATGGGGAAATTTGTTTAATTACTGTAAATCCTATTAAACCAATCTTCTTTGTAAAGTGGAAATCTCCGACCTCTGAGGCCTGCAGAGGGTGTGATGAATGCAGAGTTTAATTAGGGCCCAGACTGGCTCACTGTAATCTATTCATTAGCATTCTCAATTCTCTATATCTCATTGCTGTGCTTCACTTTACTTTAAAATTGCACCCTTCGTTTTTTGGAGCAAAGTTATACAATTTTAGGATTGTGTGGTAATTATAGTGGGTTGCAGGAAGAATCTGTTCCTGCCAACGCGGGTGTTTAATTAGGGCAAGGGGCGGAATCCAGATAAGGCAGTGTTCACCCTCCTTCAGCGCATATGGTATTTTTGGCACCAGAGCCCTGTGGACTGTTTCACGTCCACTGGACTCGAGTGCTAAGTTCCCACCATAGTCATTTCGAAAGATTTGAATATTTTGCCTTTGAATGTAGCTTGATAATTAAAAAGGTTACTGTTATTTGCTTTTTATCCACACAGCTTTTAAATACAGGCATAATTAGCTGCCTGAATTATTTGAAAATAAAGAAGCCAATAATTTTTTTCCTCGTAAATAAGGACTTTTTCAGATTGGTTAATGATAAAACCCATCTTGGTGATGGGCATATTTTCAGCACCAACAGAAAGGTATATTGATGGTTAGTTAACTCAATGATAAATTCAATAACATCAATTTAACATTCAACTTCTATCAAAGTGTAATTTATATCTCATATATAACCAATCACACCAAGCTGCCTTTCTTCCAACTAAAATCCTCAAATTTGACTAATTAAAGAATCTTTCTTTAAAAAAGATTCAGAAGTTAAACTTTCTTATAAATGTCAACAGAAAGAACTGCTACTCCGTGTTGGTACTTAATAAATATTTACATCATCAACTTTTAAAATTAATTTCCGAACCTCCAGTACTGTCAACACAGATTTGCCTTGTGGTGGTTTTATTAAGATTGACTGTGGCTCAGCTGGTAAAGAATCCACCTGCAATGTGGGAGACCTGGATTTGATCCCTGGGTTGGGAAGATCCCCTGGAGAAGGGAACAGCTACTCACTCCAGTGTTCTGGCCTGGAGAATTCCACGGACTGTATAGTCCCTGGGGTCATAAAGAGTTGGATACACTGAGCGACTTTCACTTTTTTTTTTAAAAACATTTGCTATGGTAAATCTTGGGCTTCCCTGGTAGCCCAACTGGTAAAGAATCCGCCTGCAATGCAGGAGACCTGTTTGATTCTTGGGTCAGGAAGGTCCCCTGGAGAAGGGATAGGCTGCACACTCCAGTATTCTTGGGCTACCCTGGTGGTTCAGATGGTAAAGAATCCACCTGCCATATGGGAGACCTGGGTTTGATCCCTGGGTAGGGAAGATATCCTGGAGGAGGGCATGGTAACCCACTCCAGTATTCTGGCCTAGAGAATCAATACGGACAAAGGGCCTGGCAGACTCATGGGGTCACAAAGAGTCAGACATGACTGAGTAATAAGCATGCACACACATGGTAAATCTTAGAGCATGTGGCAAAAGTACATTCTCACAAGAACGGAGAAAAGAAAATATGTGCTGAAAGAAAAGACAGGAAGAGAAAGAGAAGTGAAATGGGAAAGAATGATGAGCAAGCAGACATGGTAACCAGAAAAAAATTAAAGCACAGAACCAGTCTGGAAAAGGCCAAGAAATGGGGGTGCAAAATATAGTAGTAAGAAAAACAGGAAAAACAAAAATAAATGAAAGAAGAAGAGAAAAATAGTTTCATCTGCATGAACTCTGATTCATTTATACCAGAACACATGTGAACTAACCTGGTTCTCCTCCTGCACGACTCTGTACTGCTCCTTCCAGACGGTGATTTTGGAAGCTTCATCCTTCCTCAGGGCTCGCTCCTTCTTCAGCTCCGGGCTCCAGAAGGTCTTGATGCTGTTCATTGAAGAACTTAACTTGCTCTCCTTCACCTCCACGTCCTTCCGTAAGAGGTCGTTTTCCCTTAGCACCTCCTTGAGCTGCGTCTGCAGATCCATGATGGTGTTATCTCTGGCCTGACGGAGGGAGTGAGGAACAGTGGAGGCCATGCTCACTGGAGGCAGGTGGTGCTCCCCAAACGCTATGGTGTCGCTGGCAACCCCGCTGCTCGCTATGTTGGGGCTACTGCCCATAGCGGTCATCCGCACGCCGTAAGGCAGACGGCCCCCGGATCGGCCAAGGGTCATGGTGCTCTTGGGTGTCTCTGAACCCACATTCTCGTGGTCACTTAGGTACATGGGGCCGGAAGTGGCATAGGCAGCATTGAGGGACTGGATGTTCTCCATGGAGAGGGTCTTCCCACCGCCTCCTCCAACACTGCTTCCAGAACTCCCTCCAGTGCTGTTGGTTCGCCGATGACCCAGGCGAGGGGAGCGTGGAAGTCGAGGGGACCGCCCCGGGCTCTGGCTGCTCGGTTCCACCTTCCCCACTGAGCGGGCACTTCCATACATGGCTGCAAGATGAGTTCAGGAGACGGGAAAGGTGTGCAGCAGAAAACAAAACTCTGGGAGGCTGCGCTATGGCTCTAAGTCAGCTTAAGGCTCATCAGAAGTATCAGGTCCTCGCTGTCCAACCCTGAAGAAACAGCTCATGCCATTATCTGTAATGGAAGGTACTGCACGTTAGCTGTTGCAGGAGGAAACATCTCCCCTCGCAGACACTTTCACTGCCCCCACTTGAGGATTTTCCCTTTCATCATCTGCTGACCGGTGCGTTTGTTCACAGCACAACTTACTTCTCAGTAAGCATCATTCCTAAAACCTCCAACACGTCTCAGAATGGAACACCAAAACCACACCAAGTAAATGGAAAAGGAAATGAAATAAGGGGCATAAATACTGGCAAAAAGAAGATAAAACTCAATGTTTCAACATATCATTTTCTAACTGGAAAATCCAAGGTCATCAACTGACAAAGACAGGACTCAACAAACTATTTACGCACAGATCAATATATTAATATCGAGACTTTACTGTCCATTAGCAATAAAAGTTAGAAAACACATTTTTTTTTAAGAAAACACAATTTTTAAATTCCATTCACAATAGCAGCAAAACCATAAAAATGCTCTGACATAAAGCTAACAAAAATGTGCAAGAAATTTTTGGAAAAACTCTAAAACTTTCCTGAACAAAAGGAAAGTTATCCATGTTCACAGATGAGAAGACACTGTGTCGTTTCTTCTCCAACTCCTCCTTTCAAGTCAATGAAAATCCCTACAGGATTCCTCACATAACCTGACAAACGAACTCTATAATTTGAATGGGAGAGTAAGGCACAACCACCACCAAAACAATCTGAAACAGAAGAACAAAGGAAGATGTCCCCTAAATAGCAAGATATTGATACACTATAGGTCCATGATCCTTTATTTACAATGCAAACATTTTTTAAACTCTGAAAATAATTTTTTCCCCTCTTTAACCCATTTAGCAGCAATATCTGGCATGATCTTATATGAGGTCACTTATCATTTATAGGTACCTCACCTAGTGTAATTATTCATACACTTCACTGAGAAAACAACATGCATGATTACAGGACACTGCATAATGCCCACTGGACATTGTGGAGAAAAAACCTGGACTCCAAAACCATATCTGAACCCTGGGATTTCTCATAAGGACTCGAAGCCTTTTAAAGCTATAGTGATTAAAACTGTACAGAACTGGCCCAAGAATAGAATCTAAATTATACATGAAAGTATAGTACATGCTAAAAGTAACATTTCAAAACAGTGAGGAAAGGATAAAACATTCAATAAATGTAGTTTGAACTGGTGCCTGAAAAAAAAATAAGTTACATCTTTACTTCACACAGTACACAGAAATAAATTCTATGTACATTAAAGATATAAAATTTTAAACTATTAAAAGTACTAGAAGAAAACTTACAGGAATCCCTGTGAATTTGAGTAAAGGTAGGGATTCTTAATTAAGAAACAAAAGGCAAAAATACATAAAGAAAAACAACTAATACATTCAATTATGTCAAAATGACAAAGTATACCAAAAATGAAAAGAAAACCCAAACGCTTGGTGGAAAAAAAAACCTAGCATATGTATAAAGATTTGTATACAAAATATATACAAAATTCCTACATGTGAAATGCCAAATCTGAGTATCAGTGGTTAGAGGCAAGGGGAAATTCGAAGGGTTGGGGGGAAATGTCTGTGGAGGCTCTTAGCTTCACTTGTAAAGCTTTATACCCATAATGCACAAATACTTGAATTTTTTAATAGGAAAATATGTTCATATTCTAGAGTATAGTAATTAAGACAAAATTTAAACACACATAGCATAGCCATCTATTGTACACTTCTCTCAAACATAAAACAACACAGATCTAAACTAGATCTCTGTCATTTCCTAATAGCTTTCTATCAAAGAACTGGCTTAAATCAAGTAACAGACTTCAACATATTAAAAAATATTTTAATAAGCAACTGAAAATACAATCCAAGTAAATCACATGGTTAAAAATAAGATTTTAAAGTGTCTATATAGTCCAGCCAAACTCAAATGAGTTAAAGATCTTCAGAAATGTGAATACACTGGCAATCCCATCTCCACTTTGGTGATCCAGTAAAGACAGCCCTGAGGTAACAATAAGCAGGACAGGAAACACACAGTCTTGTCTCAGAAATAGCAACAGGACACCAAGTTCAGACACTGCAATACTCTGCTAGTAATGTTAGGAAATTCCTTCCCAGGAGGAATCTAGCTCAGGAAGCAAAAATCTGGACTGTAAGGTAGGTAACAAGCAGTAATCTACATACTACTGCTCAAGCAAATTCATGTTGAAGATCAAAGAGGTTTGCAAAGTTTTTTCTCTTTAAAGTAATCTGAATATTCCTTAAAGCAAGAGAGCTACTCATTACCCAGAGCCCCTTAAATGATAACAAAAGCTGACGCACAGTAAATGTTTACCATATGTCAGGCACTGTGCTAAGAATTTTATAAGATTTAATATTTATAAGCCCCCTTGCTGTTGTTGATTAGTCACTAAGTCATGTCTGACTCTTTGCACCCCATGGACTGCAGCATGCCAGGCTCCTCTCTCCACAGGATTTCCCAGGCAAGAACACTGGAGTAGGTTTTCATTTCCTTCTCCAGATCTTCCCGACACAGGGACTGAACCCACGCCTCCTGCGTTTGCAGGCGGATTCTTTATCACTGAGCCACCGGGGAAGCCTCCTACAACACAGGTGTTACCATTATCTCCATTTTACAGATGAAGAAGGTGAGGCCTATGGGTGTTGAGCGACTCATCTAAAGTTACACAGCTCTTAAGAAGTAGGGCCAAGATCTGAATTTAGGGCATCTAATTCCAGAGCCCTGGGAGCTCCCAACTATTACACTGTGCTTATCTGCCGTCATCTGCTAATCTCAACTGTCCAGTTTCAAGGCTGTGTGTCCTGCTAATCTAGGACTCTAAACCTAAACTTTAAGGCATACCTTAGGTATTCTCGGGTATAATGCTTAAATAATCATACTTATCCCTCTATTAAGGAGAAAGTCTTTTTTAAAAGATGGTGGGTAGAAGAACAGAGTCAGGAAAACTAACAAAATAAAGAGCAGTAATTCAGTCTCAGGAATCGTGCCACCAGAACTTTGAAGTTGTCACGCTCAAGAAAAAAATTCCCAGCTGTACTTTGGTGCAAAACTCTATTGTCCTGTAGTTGAGTAACTAAATCACACTAAAGAGGCTGAGATCAGGAGCACAAATCCACGTCGAGTGTTCAACGTGAGCAGGTGCACTCCAGTTTCAAGCCACTTTCAGACCCAAAACGGCACTTGCACGTGGAGTCTTTGTTACTATTAGAATTGTGTTCATTTCCAGTAACACGACAAAAGAAGAAAACCCACTAGCTCTGTCCAAAGGCTTCATCCTGGCTTTCTAATGTGAGTTTCAGGGAAGACAGTGTTTAAAAACTTCAAATTTCTTTTAAAAATATGCCAGATCCACAACCACAAGATAATAATCCTTGTACTTTATAACAAACAGCTGACACACACATTTTTTAAAAAAGTGACCAAAAAAAAAAATTAAGCCATATGATCCCATTTATATAAAATTCCAGAAGGAATCTATTAGGACAGAAAGCGAATCAGTATGTGCCTGGGGCTGGGGGTTGAGCAATGGATCATGAAGACAGATCAGGGATCAAGGAGGGATAGAAGGAAACTTCTGTGGTGACAAAAATGTTCACTATCTTGACTGGGGTGAGCCTTCCCAGGGGTACACAGGTCAAAATTCAAACTACACACTTTAAATGCGTTCAGGGTATTGCACACAAATTAAACCACAAAAGCTTGAAAAAAATACTTTCACATTCCAAAGTCCCCTGCCCTGAATTAATCCAAAGAAACACCTTCTCTGATTACCTACCTGGATTCCTGACTGCTGCTGGGGAAAAAAAAACAACACATGTGCAGCTGTTCAGTTTGAGCCCATGAGAAACTGGCCCCAGAGTTCTCCAAGCCCCTCAGCTGGCTTCCTATCCAATATTTTGTTAGCTCCCTAACCCATATCTGCTGTGGTTACTTCACACCTCCTCACTCTACTCATCAGACAGCACACATGAGCCTCCCAGGTCAGAGATGAAGAACTTTGTCACTCACAGCACAGCCAGCACTATGAGCATCTTACCCACCCACTCGAGGTCCCACAAGGTGGCACCGCGGGGCCTGGGCAGACACTACACATGCAGTGGATCTGCAGAGGAACACGGAGTTCAGGGAGCCCGCCACCGGACAGTAAGCAGTAAGCAAGCCTGATCTCTCCCAGTGGGAGGCATTACCTCACCCCTCAAGGTGGCTTGCTGCAAACAAGATGCTGAGACATGCTTTTTCTGAATCCAGGAAGTTTTTAGATAACTTTATAAGAGATAACATGGTATTGTTTCCTGAAACTTTTGTTTCAGGTGTGCGCAGGAACACACATGCACCATTGTGGATCACAACTTAAAGTGCTTGCTGTAAACCCCTGCCAGAATGGTCGTCTAACGACGGCCCAGATGAAGAGCAGTCAGGGCCGTGCACTCAGGGCATGCAGGAAAGAAGAGACCCATGGGGGACACGCCCTCCTGACAAGTACCCCCGTGGTATTCTAAGGTACCTGCCTAAATCATCTGCTACTCCTCCCTTCAAGAGGGGAAGCAAAATTTCTCTGTGTACCACCAGTCTTAAAGGATTTGCTTCTGACAATGTATCACTTCCAAAATGTACTCAGAAAGACACAGCGGCTTCTGTCTTCATCACTCTCTTGGATCTGTGGCTCTGGGGGGAGTTAGCCACCACGCTGTAAGGGTATTCCAGTTCCCCTACATAGAGCACCAACAGCCGTGTGAGCAGGCCTGGAAAGGGACCCTCTGACTCCAGTCAAGCCTTCAGACGACGGCAACCTCCCGAAACACCTTAAGCCAGAACCACCCAGCTGTGCTCTTCA